TTCTCTTCTCTTCTCTTCTCTTCTCTTCTCTTCTCTTCTCTTCTCTTCTCTTCTCTTCTCTTCTCTTCTCTTCTCTTTTCTTTCTCAGACTGGATTATTTGCCATTCTTCTCTCCTTTCTGGGCCCCAAATCTACCCACAGGTTGGGTCTCCATTTTGCCTCACCCTCAAAGGTATTTGAGAGCCAGTTGGGGGTAGCAATTAAGGCGCTGGACTAGAAATTAAGAAACCATGAATTCTGGCTTCTCTTAGGCATGGAAGCTGGCTGGGTGGCTTTGGGCCAGTCCTCTGTCTCAGCCCAGGGTTGTTGCAGGGAAAATAGGAAAATATGTACGCTGTCTTGAGCGGCACTAAATAAAGTTGGGATAGAAATCTAGGAAATGAATAAGCTATTGAGCAGCTTGAGGACATGAAAACCTGCCTAAAATATCACAAAATGCAAAAGAAAAAGAAAGAGGAAACGTTCCCATGAAGAGCTGCCAGGAAGGACCTCTCACTCTGGAGAGAAATTTGTTTTGTGGAAATGGGCAACACGATCTTCTGTTTAGGGCACCCTGGCTTTTGGAGCATCCTTGCCCTGGAAGACAAGCTGGTGCTCATGCTGTTTTCAAAGGCAACCTTTGAATCATAAATAAAAAATGATGATCTGCTTTTCTGTGCCTGGGGAAGATCGGTCTTTTTTCCCATTGAAATTCAGGATCCGGTAATCACAACCAGGCTGCGTTATGGCTATCTGTTTATTTATCATTTCAGTATATAAGGCTGCCCCAACTCAAAGCCAACACCTAAAATGTTTAACTTGAGTCGAGGCGGCCTTATTCATTGAATTCCAATGCATGAAACTTACGAGATTTTATTTTAAAGTCCCTCTTGTATTGTTTCATCTTATATATTTTAGGGATCGTAAATTCCCTGAGAGTCATAGGATAGTGGGTAGGTGAGAAATGTTTCAAATAATAAATATGTTGGGGATCTTTGGTGTTTAAGTCATCATTGCAACCTTCTCAAACTTGGTGCCCTCAAGATATGTTGGGATACACCTCATCATCCATGTTAGGCTCCTGTCCCCATCATACCCAGCCAAGGGAGCTTTGGTTCACTGGGGATGATGGAAGCTGTGGGGCTCCCTGACAGAGAGGCTGATATCAAGAAACTTTCTTCCCACCCACCTACTGTCCCTGATCCTAGGGCTTCTTCCTTTCCTGGAATTAGTATGGATGTGTTAGTCAGGATGGTGTCAATGTAAAAAGCGTGGAAGGGTCTCTGAATAGGGAGGGCCCTTGGAGTGCTTCACACCTCTTTTGCAAGTGCATTCTTTGAACCCTTCCTTGGAATGCAAATTCAGTTCAAAAGCAGGCGACAGAGGCAGAGGGCAGACCTGGCTTGGGCAAAACCATGATGGTTTGATAGCACAGGGGCTGATAAGCTGAAAATGATGTGGGAGACTGGGAAGAATCTGTAAGACTTGGCTTCAATGGCCGTTCCCTTTCATGAAGCAGAGGGGGAAACAAAGGGAGGATGGCAAAGAAGCGTTGCCTGTCCAAGGGAAGATGTATGTGAGCCATACTTTGGAAAAAGGAGCCAGCATGTATCCAGGACTGAAAGGGCTAGACAGGAACCAGCCAGCAGCCCAGAACTTTAACTCCTCAGCACCTTGCCCAGATTACATGAATTACCATTCTCAACATTTAGCAAGTATGGAAAACCAACCTTTCAGAGGCTGGGAGAGTTACTATGGCCTTCCTGGGGAAGACTGGAATGCTGGTGGCCCAGGACCCTCCAGCACCGGGACCCTCACCCAGATCAACAGGTCTTCTTCTGGAAAGGTCTCCTTCACTCCTGCCAGTTACAATGTTTTCAATCCTGCTGGTCCTGCGGCTTTACCTTCTCTAGACACAATGAACGCAGAGGCAAGCTCTCATCCCCGCAGCCAGCGGCCCGGCTCCTATGAATGGATGAGGAAGAATATGTCATCGAGCAACGCAGGTATATTCTCACCCTCAAGAGCTTCCCTCCCTTTGACTTCTCCTAGAGGAGATTTTAAGAACTGTGCAAACTTAAGTTAGGTCTGTCTCTAAATCCCACTGATTTTATTAGGGATTGTAAGTTTGGGAAAGGGAGCCATTTGTCCTTAAGGAAAGAAACCATGCTTAAGTCCCTCTGAAATAAATGAGACCCCTAAAATGTATTGACTGGATGGCTTTGTCCCCTATCTATCCAGAGAGGTGATGTTCAACTTGCCTAAATTAACTCATCTCAGCTTTTTGAGTTGACTTGACCCTTGCGGCAATGCAAATTGAAAATGAATCTATGTCCAGATTCCATTCAGTTAGACAGTCTGAATCTGCTGAACTTTCCCATAACACAGAAAATATTCTTACAAAAAAACCACCACTTTGTGTTCATTCTTAAACATCTAAAAGAAATACCAAACAATGTCAGATTACAACTCCCTCTCTCTGTAATTATGAATTACTCATGTTTTTTTCCATAATAAATGTATATATTAATACGCAAGGGGAACATTTTAGATGACTTAGCATAGTTTTCTAATGTTCCAATTAGCAGGTTTTGCCTCTTATTAATGAATGTAATCACATGCGCGCGCACACACACACAACTGTGTGTGTTATAAAATTAATTTGCATGGTTGTGTAGTATTTCCCCCAGCTGCCTCTGGAAAATGAATGTTTTCATGTTTTACAAGAGATATTTTTCACCTGTTTCAGAAAAAAATAATAGAAACAAACATTCTGAAATATGGCTCTGAGTTTTTGTGACAAATTGCATCTTAGTTTACACACAAACACAATTTCAATGGTAGCCCATGCTTAAATGTCTCCTGTTCTTTTACAACCACTTAGATTTCTAAGGTGCTTAGTTTCAGTTGGTGTTTGAAGTTTGGGACACGTAGCTATGAGAATAGTAGCCTACTCTTAGAAGATGCTAAACCCATCAATTTAAGCTTGTAAAACAGGTCTGCTTCTAAAGGCTCTTTTCTTTCAAAGCTGAATGAACATGGCCGTTGTTGTTTTAGCCAAAATGCACCTGTTTCTCATGTTATTATCCACAAATATATAAATAAATGAAGGGTTCAGATTCTGAATTTGTCAACACCCTTAAAAAGATAAGTAAAAGAATAATAATGCAGAAAGGTTACTGGTCTTGCCTCTGAGAGAGCTCCTGTGAATCAATTCTCTTAGGAAAGCTTTGAAAATTCTTCCCAAGCCTATTTTAGGCGTAACTGGCAGAATATAAACAGGAGACCTTCCACACCAGCAAACTATTTATTCTACATCACCTGCAAAGTTTTCTGCTTAACCCACCTTAATGTCCTGCCCTCTGCATTGTTGGAGGGAAGATATAATAATATTCCTTTTGCAAGATTGAATTGTCCCCGTGCTCTGGAGGAACACAAGACCCTAGCTCACATGCTCCTTCAATGCCCTCTCTAGAGTAACTTACACTCCACCCTTACACCTTCATCTGCCAACAGAAGTCCTTTTGGCCTGGAGAACAACCCTATTTGTTCTTTGCTGTCAGACCAGAACTTCAGCACCACCAGGAGAATTGCAAAATTTCTCTCAGCTGCCCTATGTGGGAAGCTATTTTCTTAACTTTATTTTATTAATATACAATTTTACTTTGTTCTTCTATTGTTCTTACATTGTGCTTAGCTTTTCTCTCCTGTCATATCTTGTCAACTGACCAATATATGATTTCACTCATACACACTTACGTACACCCAAACTAATATTCACTCAGCAGTACAATACTCAATTCCAGAACTGGGCTCTTATTTTTATTAATTAATTTCATCATTTTGTTTTTTGCACTTTCTATGTCATTTCTATGCAGCAGCATAGAAATATATTAAATAAATAAACAGTTCAACTTCTAGGCTGCCTCGATCATTGGATGACTCAAGAAATCAGAAAAAGAATGTCTTTTCCCAACGAAGACATTTTATTAAAAAGCATAAGTTTTTCTAAGCTGCAGCTAACTTCATCTCCTTGCATACATAATGGATAGAATGCTATCAGGTTGAGTGGAGTTTATTCCGAAAACAGCTTGCATAGGATTGCAGTCTTAAACATGTGAATCATTAATATTGTATTAAGTTGAAACTTGAATGCAACCAGCTACAGTAAGCCTCTGATGAAGTGAACTATGCCTTTTAATAAAATCTGTTATTCATAAAAGGGGCCTCCAGACTCCTTCCAATTTTGGGCTACCATAAACTAACACAGCTCTGAGTGACTCTGGGTGGCTCACCAGGTAGGATTAAAACATCAAGGGAACAACAACTGAAACCAAACCAACCACCATAAGAGTACATGGTGCACATTGGGCAGGAAAACAAAACAAACATATCCCCCTCCCCGAACTACCATTGGGGAACAACCTACTCCATTCCACCCCAGTTGCAATTTCAGGACACTTTTCAAGGGTAGCATCATGTATCGTGCATTATACTAGCAGGTTGCAAGCAAGGTCTGGATAACTGGCATTATGTCCACCCTGCTGAGGAAGGGTCCTAGTTGGCACAATAGCCACAGTTGTGCAAATATGCTCCTTGGTATAATCACCACTTCTTATCCCATGGGGATCAAGGCGCAAACCTGCTCTTCCTGGAGGGAGCAAGCTCCCCTCCGTCATAGAGTCCTGCTTCTTCTGTATGGTCATCTGTCAGACATGCTCAGATGCCTCCTGCCCCAAGCCAGGGGTTGGACCAAATGTCAGGTGGCATACAAGTCTGATAAATAAATGATATGGACTGTAATTCTTAAAACTTGAAAGTCTTCTTCAAGTGAAGCTTGACTTTTGATTAAGGGTGGCCACAGGGGTGGGTGGGGAGATCATGGCTGACTTACAAGTATTGTTAAACCATGACTTAGCATTATGAACAGCCTTGAACTTTAGCTTAGATGTTCTGCCAAATTCCTCCAAAAGCATCCAGGAGACATTGCTGTCATTGTAGGCTGTGAGGCCGACAGGAAACAGGACAAATTCCAATTGATCTTAATTATACTGTGTTAAAGCAGGCTACTGCAGGTATTAGCTTTCAGCAAATAACCATTAATGATAAGCAAAGTTGAGGGTCTGGGAAAAATCTTCCAATCCAAAAATTAATTGAGATTAATCTAAAACAGAAGCAAAACCTTCCAATCTCCTTGCAATTGTATTGAGTTTATAGCCTGCCTTTCCAATATTCAAAGCCATTTAAACAATTTAAAAAATTCAGAGAGTAAAACATAACAAAATGAATGCAATCAAAACAAACACCTACGTTAAAACATTCACTGACATAATGAACAATTCAAAAGTTGGTGAGATCAGTTTTGTCATTTTCCTGAATGCTGGGAAAGTGGGAGCCCAACTGCACCTCCTGGGAAATACATTCCTTAATCTTGACTAGATGGTATGTTTTCTGCCTTTTTTAATAGCTAACACAGCATTATTTTATTGCTTTGAAAATGTACAGTCCAGGCCTGTGTAGCCACTTATAAAATGAGCAAAGAACTGAAATTCCATTTCAGTTGCTGCTTCCTTGAGAAATTTATTTTATTTTATTTATTATTGGATGTGTACCCCACCTTGCTATCTATTTGATAATCAAGGCAAGGTACAGCAGTAAATAAAATGAAACATATAAACTAAAACTGAGTTAACCCTAACCCTAAACCTACAGTCCATATTAAGTAAACATTAAACACTTCAAGGAACAGATTAACTTTTATCGACTTCCTAAATAGGTCTCCATTTTTCCAAATGGAGAATAGTGGCCAGACATACACAACATCTCCTATGGAGAGCATTCCATGTCCTGGGAATCCCACAGCATCCTTTCCTGCATACAAAGGAATCCATTTTCTGGCAATGGGGCATCTTCAGAAAGGATTTTCCTGCTGATCATAGTAAATGGGCCAGTTCACAGAGGGAGGACTAGTCCCACATCTGATCAGGTCCTAAGCCATTTAGGAACTTAAGGGTCAGTCCCAACCAGTAATGCCTAGTAGATTTTTTATTAACTGATTACTGTATGTGCTATCAAGTGAGTGTCAACTATTAACAACCACATAGATGGATCTTCTCCATGATGATCTGTCCCTAACCTGGACTCTCAGCTGATTTCCACTGTCCATCCACCTTGCTGCTAGTCTTTTTTACCATCCACCTTTCCCAGCATTAGAGTCTTCTCTACAGAGCTGGGTCTCCACACAAAGTGTCCAAAGTAGGATAATTTGTGCCTTGAGTGAGAACTCTGCTTGATTTGTTCAATGATCCATTTGTTTGCTTTCTCAGCTCTCCATGGTATTCTCAAGTGTCTTCTCCAACACCACTGTTCAAAAGCATCAATACTCTTTCTTTCCAGCTTCTTCAGAGTCCAAATTTAGCTTCCAGAGATGGTCACAGGGAACATTATTGCCTGTATTATTCTGCTTTTGGTAGACATAGACACATCACAGCATCTGAATATCTTTTCCCAGGCCTTCATGGTTGCTCTACCAAGTGCTGGACTGCTGTGTATTTCTTGACTGCTGGTTCCTTTACTGCTGGTGGTTGATCCTAAAAGGCAGAAACTATCTACTCTTCAATATCTTCATTATTGTTTCTAAGGCTGGCTGTTGTACTTGTTGTCATCAGTTTGGTCTTCTTCTATTTAATTTTAGTCCCATTTTTTTACTCTGCTCTTTGACTTTTAGTACTAGGGCTTGCAGACCCTTTACTTTTTCGGCTATCAGGGCAGTGTCATCATCATAGCACAGGTTATTGATGTTTCTTCCTCCAGTTGTAAAACAAAGCTCCTCTTCTTCCAACCCAGTTTCCCTCAATACATATTCAGCGTATAGGTTGAATAAATAAGGGGAGATTATACAGCCAATTTTGCAGCAAGTGCAATTTCTGGACATTTTTCAAAGGCAGACCATAAAAGGCACATTGCAGTAGTCAAGATGGGGGCACAGACTGTGTGCCCCATTTTTTTCTCATAAACCCAAACACCCCTTTCCTGCTTGCATGTGGTGGGAATCCTCTTGATCTTCAGAACTCATCTGGCGGCTTTGAGCAGTCTGCCTCCTTATCACTTCTGTGCTGTCTGAAGGCTGCCAAGATTTCCTCAACCACTGGATATAACATTTTGGCACCTAAACGTTATACAGAGTACATGGCAAGATGAAGTACTGCATTTTATTGGCTGCAGCCTTCCTGAAATTGGTGTTCTCCCAGATGTGTTGGACTACAAGCTCCATTATCCCCAGCTGGGGAAGACTGCTCTGCCACTTACAGCACCATCTTGATCAAAGAACATCCCACCATCTGTGCAAAGGATCCTATTCCCCACCTGGGATCCGATGTCAAACCATTCTTTTCACTAAGACAGTTTCAGCACACATGTCTATATCCAAGGCAGGAGCTCTCAACATGGACATCTAAAGAGGGCACTCTTTTCTTGCTGCCCCCAACTCAACATAACATGTATTTTAGACCACAGGAGAATTCTACCAGAACAGTTGCCTTTTTTGGTCATTATTTAGCTTTACACATTGGATGGATTTGCAAATCATGCTAAACCAGGATGTTTATGGTTTGTTGAATTAGCCATAATATGTTGGTTCACATACTGCCCTACATGAAACCCAACCCATGCTATGGTTTAGGATTAACCAGGCCAATGGCTCAATTTGGGCATTATCCTAAACATAATGAATTACCCTAATTATGAGTCAGGTTTAACACCCAACCTGAAGCAGAACCTGGTTTTGCTAACATAACATAACATAACATAACATAACATAACATAACATAACATAACATAACATAACATAACATAACATAACCCAACCCAACCCAACCCAACCCAACCCAACCCAACCCAACCCAAAACCAACCATGCACGCACTGTATTATGATTTTACGGTGTTCTGTGAGCCCAGCCCAGGGGTTGGGATTCCTGTTCCCAGAAACAAGAAATCCGTGGCCATGGTGGGCTTCCCTCTGCCAACAGGAATGCCATCTCTATGTTCCATTGGTTTTGAGATATCTGCCATGAAGGCCAAGACAATCTCTTTTGACACTGCTTCAGCTTTGATATGCAGAACTGTCCCTTGCTTCTCTTTTCTTCAGCAAGTTATATGGCCGGAAAGGGTGTTGATTTTCACAGCAAACAATTTTAAAAAAAGAAGCTTTCCTCTGCTTTATTGTCTTCAGAAGAAAAGTTCAGTGAATTTTATGGCCCAGGGGTGTCCTACAGAGGGTTCCCACCCTCCAGTTTCCAACCCAATTACACTTCCTACTTGCTCAACTAGAATATGTTGCAAAGTGACACTCGCCATCTCTCGAATGTGAAATACAACAAGCATTCACCCAAATGTGACATAATTCAGAAAATGTAGGCTTTAGGTCATGCACATGTCAAGTCTTATGTAATGCACATGTACTGCAAGTAGGATTTTAACTAAATAATAATAATAATAATAATAATAATAACAACAACAACAACAACAACAACAACAACAACAACA